ATATATATATATATATATATATATATATATATATATATATATATATAGATATATATGATATATATATATATATATATATAATATATGATAAATGAGGGACTACTGTATCTGAGTTTTTCTAGAAAATTTAACAAATGTTTAAATATAACCAACTACGGCCAGTGCAATGTAGGTCAATGACATCACTCAAACTACCACAGGATTCAGACAAGTAATCAATTACTGTGTGTACACACATTTCAGAATCGCATATAAATATTAGCTGGTAAACAGAAAAGTTTCCCAATAATGTAGACTCACACATTTGAATACAATCAGCAGCGACAGTAGTGTCACACAGGCGTACTTGCCAACTCAGTTCTGTGACCTCCCTTGCTGGTGAAGGGAACCATCAGGAATCAACTCCCTCTCCTCATTCCTCCATGGTCATTTCAGATATGAAACCAATGTTGGGAGGTGACGTTGTAAACAAGACATGAAAGGGTTGTGTATTAAAGAGCTATTGTTGTTGTGCATTGTGTAAACTGTGGTAAACAGTGTTCCAATTTGAAAAAAGTCAGAACATCTTAAACTTTATGATAGAATAGTGGTACTAGAAGTTGTACTACAACAAAAACATGACTGGGTTTCTCTTCTTCATCTTTCTTTGGCTGACCACAGTGTCTTTCAACAACAAAATAAAGTTCTGTAAAAATCATAAAACATTCATGAGTTCAACATTGTATGAAAATGTGTTTTGTTCCACAAAGCCAGAAACAATAAAACAAAAAAAAAGCATAGCTGCTGTTTGTGTGGCTTGTAGTAAAGAAGGTTTATGCTGGGGAATAAAATAAATGTTATATTTGTGAAACAAAAAGAGATGACATTAAGAAGAGTCCTGTGAGAAGTGTGCATGAGGTTAGCAGGCATATTGCCCAGAGAGGGGAGGCGTTACCTGATAAGTGGGTTAGTATTGCTGTCAAGACATGCTCTGCCAGATGGTAGGCCTCAGCTACCCATTCATCTATGGCCTCCACCTCCTTAGAATGTGTGTTGTCACACACTCGGCTGCTTCGGGAACATGGAGGACTGGGAGCTGAAGCTGGCTGTACACATGTCAAACTGGGGTTGGTTTGGTTCTGGTTGGAAACTTCAGACCGAAGGTTAACTACCTCCTCGTCTTGACTGCAGACCAATTCTTTGAGAGCATTGATTGTATGATGTTCTTGTTCAAGATCCATCACCATGCTCGGAGAGGTGTGGGAAGAGGTGGTGCTGAGCTCCTTCTTAGGGGGAACACCTTGACAGACATCACCTTCTTCATCCTGCCTAGATTTCAGACATTCCTTCATGAACTCCACAAAACTATCTGCAGGTTCAGAAACTGGGCTTGTTGTGTCAGGTGCATTGGGACAAATTTTAGGTTCCTCATGGATGTTGCCACTTTTTAAGTAATCTGCAACGTTGCTGGATGTTTCTTCAAGAAACTCTGGCTCACTGATTCTGTTGATGGTTTCACTTTCAAAGCAGGAATAAGGGTTTTGGACGTCTTCGTCTAGAGATGTCCGACGCTCTTTATAATTGAGTGAAATGGTGCGGTCTTCATCAAACATGTCTTTAGGAACTTCATTTTGAACAGGATCAGATAGAAATCGCTCCTTGGCATTGCTCAGCTGTTTATCTTCACTGAGATCCAGGGCAGATGTTGCATCAAAGTCATAATCAAATGATTGTCGGTCATAAATCTCATCCTGCATGAAACTGGACAACGGAAGTGGTGTTGGTTTGACAAACACCTCTTTTGGTGCTGCATGTTTCTCTTCATTCATGCTGGACTGAGGGTAAGAACTTAAATCTGTTTTTGTAGGCTGAACAAGAATATCTGGTACTTCATCAGACCATTCATCATCATTGTCTGGGAAATCAACTTCTTCATCTCTGACTGCAGTAGGAGAAGGTTCAACTTTTACTTGATCTGAAGCACTCTGGGGTTTGGCGGTTTGTGATTGTGCTTGGAAAATACTCGCTGCCGAGTCCATCAAATCTGCTGGACTGGGTAGGACCTCAGATTTTGATGGGGGCGGTTGATGTTCTGTTTCTGAACTCGATTTGGGAATTTTGTGTTGTGGAGAATATTCAGCATCAGAGTCCACAGGTGAGGACGGAGGTGAATAGCCTTCCATAAATTCAGTTTCCAGGGGTCGTGTTTTGGGTAGTTGCGTTAAATTGTTTTCTGGCTCTGAGGTTTTCAGAGCTTCTCTATTTGGGTCTTCAACAACCTCAAAGTCCTCATCTTCCTCTGCCTCAGGCTCCATTTCCATTTCCTCCTCGCTGTAATTTGGCTCATCAGTTTCAATAACGTTTATTGTCGGAACCTGCATTAGCTTTCGCTCAGACTTTGGAGGAGGGCTCTCCCTTTTAGTGGCAGAATGGTCAAGAGCTGTAGAGCTGGGCACAGTGGGAGCATTACTTAAAATGGGGCAATCAACAGATGTTAAAGAGACAGATGCAGGAACAACATCATCTTCTATGACAGTATCCTCAGACTCTCCAGAACTGTCTGCTTCACTCGTCTCTTGCTGCTTCAAATCTCCACTCAGAGAAGCTACCTCCTCATGTGACACATTCTGGTTAGCATCTGGGAAAGCGAGAGGAGATAAAGGAGAAGATGCAGTGCCAAAGCCTGTAGGAGGAGCAGGTGGAGACTGAATTACTGAATAGAGACTTGAGGGAGCTGCAACACTCGATTCATCTTGATCCCACATGTAAGCTGTTGGCAAAAAACTAGTTCCAATCTCTTGTTTGACTCCTGGTTTTTGTGCAGCATCTGTTAAATTTTCAGCTTCAACAGGACGGTCCATGAAAGCATCAGGAACAACAGCGAAGGCAGCAGGAACATCTGCATCGCTCACTTTTGATTGAGAAGCGACATCACCTTTCATTAAATCCTCAGCATCAAAATCCGGCACAGGAGGTACATGAGCCTTTATCCACTGCTCCGTCTCTTCAAACTCATTCACTTGTCTCATGTCTACAAGGATTTCAACGGGTGACTCCTGGTCAGCAGAATCTCCCAGTTTGTCAAGACTTGGTATCACTTTCTCAGATGAAGACTTTAAAAATTCGGAGGGAGACTGTGTTGCCTCAGAGGGAGACTGTGTTGCCTCAGAGGG